TCCAGTTTATTTATTTTAATTTACTTTCATTATTTTATAACAAAAGGCGGGCTTGACTATTTTTATGATGTCCGCCAGGCTTTTCTTTTCAAGGTAACTAACGTTTTGACCAGTTTTTAATTACCTATCACCAATGACACCGTTGTCATTTAAAATAAGATTCTGAAGTACTTAAAAATGTGCAACTTTTGTGAAACTTTTTACGTGGAATGTAAAAAAGAACAGTACGAGTTCCGCAGGAAATCTGTATTTAGCTTTGAGTTTGATGGCGAAGATTAATAAACTGTTTAAGGCAGGAGTTCGAAACCTTACTTAGATAAACCATAAACACATGTCCACAGATTTTGTATGGAACATGTTTGTACAGGAAGGATATTTGGCGGCACGTCCGGTCTTTTTTCTCTATGCCCTGTCACTGCGTCTTGGTTGCTGTGTTTCCTAGTCCTAGCGTCACAGTTGCCAAATGACCTTCCTGTAAAAGTTACGTTGTGATCTTGGGGGCGACGATGCCAAACTTTGAGGAGTCCTGCAAAATGTCGAAAAGAAGGTTTGTCGGTATGGGAGAAATTTTCTTCAGAAAGGCCAATGCTCAGAGTGTGCTGTAACATCCACACACACACATTTTACTAATAAGAAAATTGTATCGTAGAGCAAGATACAACGGATCTGTCGAGGAGCAATGTGGATTTGGATAATTTTATGGAATAGCCTGCGAGATGGAGAAAATTGGAAATAACTAAAAAAATGCATATCTTGCCAGATAAGCACTGCGTGCATTTGCAAAACATGATTAAATAAGTAAGAGTATCAATGAATAGAGAGGTTGGTGAAGAATGGGTGTACTAAAATAAATTATTAAAGAATCAGAGATAACAGCAAGAAATATATGAAAAGAAACATAAAGGTAACAAATTAAGACTATGAAATGATGAAAATTAAATAAACAGGCATATACTTGATGTTTAAATACGAGAACTATTATAAATTGATTGGATTATAATTGTGCACGTGTAAAGACGGAAGGAAGGAAGTTTAGTTGACAGCCATGTGATATGTAGTGGAATTAGAACAGTACTTTCAAAGCAAACAAGATAAAGTCTACATTGTAATAAATATAATAAAGTAGTAATTAACCTGTTCTCCGCATGAGAATGCGAACACTTATTTAAATGTCTGGACCACTGAGGAAGAATAAGATTTATACTTAGCTAACAATTATGAAAATGTTAATTAAATAACAGTACAGGGATACTTGACTGTATTAAAGCAATTTAAAAGTAAAAATTCTCTTGGGTCAGTTTAAAAGTTGAATGTACACCTACTATATCACATGCTCGTTTATTAGTCATGTATGTGTTGGAAGACGGCATATTTAAAGAATGAAAATTATTAGTTGTAATAACGTTATTTAAGGGATGTGACACAAACATGTAAATATAGATAAAATAGCTTATTATATACATAACATTATGCATATTCTTGTGCATTTTCCCATATCTGTTTATAAAAACGTGGACAAGATCTATTGAATAAGTGTTGCTGAATTTAGGCTAAGATTGTAACTAATGGTATTATTACATTAACTGAGCATGTTTTACAGAAATCTCAGTAGTAATTGTATTTTTGCAACGATGCATTTCTTTTAGAAAAGAAAGGAATATCTTATCCTAATGTGCAGCCATTATTTATTATTTAAAAGCCTTTGATAAAGTAAACAGAAACACACTTTGGAATATTTTGTACAAAATTGGTTTACCACTACACTTAATTAGAGCTATCCAGAACTTGTGGACACAAATTTTAATCGACAGTGGTGACAAACTAAGTGTGGAACCACTGCTGGTAAATTTACACGTTGGACAAAGGTTTCTATTATCATACAGGATGTATGCCTTTATTGACAAGTATAAGGATAGGGATGTTTCTTTATAACATGCTCAAAGGTTGTTCCTCCATTCTCCACACATGCACGAGTACGACGAATTCGTTGGTACACACCAGGGTTTCCTCGAATCATCTGGCATGCTTTCTGCACACATTCCCATAGGTCGTCATCATTGTTTATGGGTGTTGCATAAACGACGGACCCCACAGATAAAAGTCCAATGGAGTCAGGTCCGGTGACCTCGGTGGCCATGCTACTGGGCCACCACGCCCAATCCATCGCTGAGGGTACCGTTCATTGAGATGGTATCTGACGCGATGGGAGAAGTGTGCTGGGGCTCTGTCATGCATAAACCACATTTGTCTTCTTGTATTCAGTGGTGTATCTTCAAGGAGACGTGGCAAGTGTCTCCTTAAGAATCACCAATACGAAGGTCCTGTTAGACGCGATGGAAGCATGTGTGGACCAATAAGCATGTCGCCAACAGTTCCTGCCCAAACGTTAATTGAAACTCTTTGCTGGAAGCTGGATTCACTTTGATATAAAGTGAATTCACTGAAACTTATTTTTGACTATTATTTCGAAAATGAAACATTTGCGACCCCATGTTCATAGGAACATTTTTTCCTATTTTTGAACCTGGAACACATTCACACACGAAGTATGTTATCATACTTCTGACTCACCCTGTATACAGGGCGTTTATAAATTATGACTAATGATAGGGGAGCTTCTCCATGTTTACTTCAAGGCCAGTTTCGTTACTAGCGTTTAACATGATTATTTGTTTTCTTTCATGGTGTATACGAGGGTTACTTCAAAAGTCATGGCAACTAATTTTGGGGGGGCAAACACGTTATATTGAAGGAAGGTCAAAATATACGTATGAAAGGGCACGATATACTCCTCTGATTGGCGTAGTCAGATCAGATAGGTGTGTATGGGTGTAGGTATAGTAGGCAAGAAAAACGGCACATTACGGAATGACCTTTTTTTCATTCTTTAATCCTCGAAAAATTCAATTCACATCTAACTTGGCATTATATAATTACAGCTATTGAAGTGTAATTTAATATATAAATAAATCATCTAATGACAAAGACAAGTGTATTGTTTAATTTAGGGAACCAGACCATTCCAGAGAAACAGCATGATCTATTGTAATTCCTGAAAAGAAATGTGCCTTTACTCCAAGACCAACCAATTGCCAGGTCAGAATGACTGAGGGCATGATATTTTGTAGCTTTGTCAGGGCTATTACACACCTTGTGGGGTGGTGATAATACTTGTAGATGAGAATGGAGCAATGGTCAAATGGTAATTAACGGGAAATTTGAAGAACTCGGAGAAAAACTTGCTCTAGTGCCACTTATGAATCTTGCCTGAAGTCACCTGGGATTAAACTCTGGTTTCCATTGTGAGAAGCTAGCATCCAGCCACCTGAACTCTAGCACAGCCACCAGTTTATGATGTTGGCTTCAGAATACTTTTTTGCATGTTCTTAATTTGCTTTGATCTCTGTAATTTCCTGGACTTAACTCATGTGGCTGAGGACTTTTTTCTAGCCTCTGCGTCTAGATTGGCCCTGGGGCCCACCCATCCTCCTCTCCAGTGGGTACCAGCATCCTTTCCCTGGGGGTAAAGTGCTGCCAGGGTGTGACACTGACCACTCACCCCATCTAGTGCAGAGGTTTAAGCATGAGTAGGAGCTGTACCTCCCCCCCCCCCAAATACCCACATAGCTTATAGCAGGACAGCCTTTTTTTTAAGTATGTGGATTACTGGCTAGCTAACTCCATAGAGCAGAGTCATTCAAAAGGTAATAGTTGCTTTGCTGCTTAAGAAATGTCTTTTATAGAATCCAAAGATTTATTGCCATATTTCCAAGAGGCCACTGTAATGTCCTACCTGAGCAATCTGAATGTAGGCCACAACCTCTTATACTATACATAAAATCAATCTTAATATTGATGATGTTACTGGGTTATGATGGTATGTAGATTTGTAGGTAGATACCAGCATTTTGGAGAAACATATTGTCTCCATCTTCAGGACTCAAGTGGTTGTAGTACTGAGAAGTGGAGAGTTTGTATGTAGTCAGGCGAAGGGCAGACTAGGGGAAAATATACTGATATGTAGCTGTGAGAACCTCAAACTCACAATATTATTATTGCCCTACCATCCTTGTGTAGGTCCCTTAAGGGGGTTCTTCAGTACATGTCTTTGACTGAAGTTTTATGTGCATATGTATGTAATTATATAAATGTACAAATAAATTTGTGTTATGTTTAAAGCAGGATAAGAACTGCATTAACGCAGGTGCTTGATGGAGATATTTTGACTGATTGCTGACCAGAAAGCCTTGTGAGACATAATCTGTAGTTCAATAATTACTGAACAGCTTTAAATTATTCGCACTGACTGAACATATTTTATGAAAACATAGCAAAGACTTAGATATTACGTTATAATTAATGTTATAGCATGATACCTGAAACTGTGTTTGATGTTTTGAAGACATTATGATACACAATAATTATACCAAATATGTAGAGAGTGCTGCTCATCTTTATTGTACCCTGATATAGATGCGGTAAATAAAAATGACAAGTATATGTGTTAGGGAGACCAAGAACTTTCATTTGTTCCAAAATCTCAGATCCATTGTACTGTACTTATTTTTGCCATCACATTACATTAAAATTTAGTAAAGCACATATTGTTAGTAATATCAGATAGAATTGTTTGATGGCAGCAATTTGCCCACTCCATGCTTAAATTGACAAAATTTATGTGCTAACTAACGAACAAATTTCATGGTGTAGTCTTTGTAAGAAAGTTAATAGTTGCCGAGATGATCGTGAAATGCCCTGCTTTTGTGAAAAGTGTGGAACCTACCAGTTGACCCTGTCCTAAACCATTTTGAATCTAGTGCATACTGTATTTGTTTAAGATATATTTTAATATTCCCCTTCTAAATAGTGTCTTCCCTCAAGGCTTTCTGACTAAAGTTTGGAACATAGTTATCTCTTCCAAGTATGTCCATCCCACCTGCTTTGGTTTCATCATAACAACCCTGCAATGGATAAAAGCAGCTGTGGTTTGTTGTTTTTAGACTCTGATCAATATGGCGTACTGCTGTCTCATCCTGCTTGGCAAGTTCATCCAGAGGCTTGTGTTTGGGGAACTCAGAGTGTCTGAACAGCAGCACATCAAAGACAAGTTTTGGAACTTTGTCTTTTACAAGTTCATCTTTGTGTTTGGAGTCATAAATGTGCAGTACATGGACGAAGTGGTGTTGTGGTGTTCGTGGTTCTCAGTACTGGGGTTTCTTCACCTTCTAGCCCAACTCTGCAAGGATCGCTTTGAATACGTGAGTAATATGGTGCAATCAGCGTTAACAATAGCTTGTGTTGACATATGGGCTGTTACTGTTTTCCACCACTGCATTGTAATGTAACATACATTTTATAAGACAGTTAAAGCAATCAATAGTGCACATATTTAGACATGTTTTAAATTGCCTCAGTTATAACGTAATTTATTCCTTTAGATCAGTGTTTCTTAAACTGTGTTCTGCAGAACCTCAGAAAAATGAAAAGAAAAACTGTCTAATGTCAGGCAAACTAGTTTTTGTAGTGCCCCTGCTTTCATATGAACATAATCAGATTTATATTATTGCTTTATTACTCTTTTACACTAAAAGTTGTCAAGCAAATTTAATTGTCATGCATACTTGTTTCATGTAAGTGTGCATAAGTCAGTGAAAACTTCTTAATGTGTATCATGATAAGTGATGAAACATGCATGTACAATTATTACTGTAAAATTTAGCATAAATCATCACCATGGAAATCCTGTTCCTTGCTGTGACCTACATCGCACGGCAAAACCAAAAGTAATGCTGATTGTTTTTATCTTCGCTGATGAGGGTGTGGTGCTCCATTACTATATTCCTAGTTCGAATTATTAATCAGCATTTTTGTTTATACAAATGTTGATTAATTTCTGTTAATCTGTTAATGATGCAGTGCATTGTAAACAGGTGCAAAAGAAGGAACCCAGTAAGTGACAAATTCACCTGCTAACTTAGCCAAGTTTGTTGAAGCTAAACACAGTATTCCAGGAGTGAGGTAGTATCACTACTACCTGATATTGCTCATTGCAACTTTATTGTTTCCTGAACTTTAAAAATAAAAGCTTTTAAATAAAAAGTGTTGATGATGTTGAAACGACAAAAAACAGTTTTTAGCCATCACAAAAATTCAGTTTTTGAGAGTTGTTTCCAGTACATGCAGAAACAGTGAAACAAGTGAATACATACTGAAGAAGCCTGCTCTGCGGGAAATAATAAACTCTTATTGTTGTGAGTACGATATATTAATTTTCTGTCTTCATACTTTTTTATTAGGACTCATCTGTGATCCATGTTAGATTTGTAATAGTGTATGAAATTTGAAACTCCGGTAGTGATATCAGCTTCTGACCTGTGAAGGAAATTAAATGTCACACTTAATTTTTCGCAATTTTCGTGTGTCTTAATAGTTGTCATTCTCACCCACCACCCCTGGATGGAGCCACATTCGATTGTTGGGTCTCCTGGCCAGCATCCTAATGCTCTCAGGCTTCATGTTCCTCATCTGTGTTGCTGTTGGCTTCTTTGGAGGCCTCAATACATTTGCCTTTATGGTTGCTGAGGTACGTTCTTTATATTTCAATCATGAATAAGGTTTGTAAAATACAGTGCATATTTCATGAAGTCCATTTACAGGTAGCCCTCGATTTACGGATGCGTTCCTGGACAAACGAGCGTAAATTGAAACTCTTTTATAATGTAAATCAAAGGGAAGTCAATGACATGCGTTCCCAGCACCCAAACATTGACGAGTAATATAATGACATTACATTTAAAGCTCTGAAGTAACGTAAATAAAATAAATGGAATTTAAAAAATATGTTTTGTACACTTACAATCGACAATTCGTTGGTCCCCGCGATTGACTGCGATTCTTTCATGTGATTAATGTGTACAGTCATCTCTGCTGTTATGCGATAGTTGCATTCATGTAAGACGCCGACCTATAGCTAATCGCGTATTAAAAATAACCCCGGTACCTCCGCAGAGATTAAATTAGTCCTTTGAGAGTTTAAAGCGCCAGGAATGAAATTGCATGAGAGCAAACTCGCATATGCAAAAGTTTGCATTTCACAAACAGCTTTTACCGATTCATCGATCTCATTGGAGCAAATTCGCATTAACGAAACACACGTTATTGCAGAGGTGACTGTATTTTTAATATTTATTCAAAATCAGCGATGTAAGAATTGCGATTTAGTATAAGGATCAGTACGAGATACATTGTAAAACGTTGTAAATAATAGTAGAATATATGTTTTTCACTGTTTGACTTGCTGGTTTCAAAATAGGCATTATTCTGAATCGGCGCAAATCGAGGGTACGTGTAATGTTTAAAATAAATTTTGTATGCAGAGACACGTCCTGTGAGGAAAATGTTCACAGTAATTCTGTGTATGAAGATTGCTGTCTTCTGGATTGTTGTTCCGTGTAGTCAGGCAGATGTCCACCAACGTTTGAGGGGTCCATGTTGCCTCCATCATCAGGGTGATTAATAAGCCATGTGAGCGGAAAGCACTAGAGTTATGGGGCTGGATAGTAACCAGTGGGAACTAGTGTGAGAATGAGGTGAGGGGGTGGGAACCAGTAGGAGTGTGTGGGCATGTCATAGCATGTGTGTGAGAGGTCCGAGAAACAGCCCTTTTGAGGGCCTTAGGGAGTCCTTCAGGTGGGACACTGGACATATGGAAGTTGGGCAGTTAAAATGTGGGGGAACGCAGGAGAGTGGAAGGGGCACTGACCACGGCCAGAAAAGGGCAGAGTAGTGGTTAGTGGCCCAGGTGGGACAAGCAATGCTCTCTGGGATTCTTCCGGAGCCCTCGGAGAGAGTGAATGGGGGACTTCCATGACCAGCTCAGGCGAAGTCCATCCATTGGCTTGCTACAAATCAGCTTCCTGTCAAACTGAACGAGGCTGGTGTCTTTATAGCAAGTTTATACACTCAGCTACCAGATGATGCCGAATTTAAAAATAGGTACTTGGTTAGTTGATGCATAACACCATATAGTTGATAAACAAATTGTTGATCATTGCTGATGTCTTACCTGTTACTTGGTGCTTGAAGGTAAGTGAAACTGGGACTGCTGGTCAAGAAGAGTTTTGAAATCTAGTTCATTTCTGGAAGAAGATATCCGCAGAAATGATTGTAGATGCTCATCCATCATTCTGTTTCAAAGGCAATTTTTCCTAAACTTCGTTTTGAGAAAATTTGTTTGCACAAATATGAGGATCTGAGCATAGCCACAATTTTCTGGACATGAACAGTTAAATTAGGAAATTCCGATTTTATTAAGAGCTTTGTAAAATTATAATTTGGAGACATTAAAAGAATTCTTCAGTTGTGAATTACACTGGAATTCGGTTAGTTCGGATTAATTTCTTTGCACTTCATGTTGAAGAATGTAGCAAGAATGTTTAAGTCAGTCTCAACATTCTTGAAATACTGAAACCACCTTTCAAATTCTTCTTGCATCTTCTTTAATTGGCTTTTGTATGGTTGAAATTTCCCTTGAGGCACTTTTGTAAAATATGAAAAATTGCTTTTTGGTATCTAATTCGAAAATAAAGATAGTTTTATCTTGCATGCCTTCAGATGCCTCCAAGGTCATCAAAGAATTTATTCTTACTTGCATATTCAAATTCTTCAAATTTTTCCCAAAATCGCGGATAAACTCGATTACTTTTCTTATACAATTACCAGACATGTTAGAAAATATTCCGGTACTCGACCATCTTACTTTCGTTTTATGAAGCACAAGCTTTCACAGACCGAATGGAGTGCTAGAATTGCCTGTGTAGCGCAAGATACGAGCATGTTCTCAAGCTTTACAGCCATGTCCAGTGCATGTTTCATGTTTTGGTGAATTACGCAATGGTAGAAACCCAGCCTTATTTGAAGATATGTCAGGTGTAAAGTTGCACAGTTTAGTGATAGTTAAATTTATTGATGCCTGAAGCCAGAAAATAAATCTTCACTTGTAGTTCCATTCATAGGGCGTGAACAAGCCGGTTCTTCGGTGGTGTTGAAATCGTTATTCACGAGTATAAGTAACTGAGCCGTATCATTTATGGCCTTGCTTTCGGCCATTTTATCGAGAAGAATTTTAATTTTACAGTTCTTTGTGTCAGCTGAGTTGTTTAGTAATTGTTGATACTTTTAATTCAAGATGTGATAGTTTAACAAGATAAACTTATGGCTTCAAAGACCCCTTTTTTGTCGGGACAAAGAATATCATACATTGAACTCATCGACGAATAATTCTCTGTTAGATTTTGCATTTTTGTAAGCCACAAAATGACCTCCTTTTGCAAATGCTTTCTGATTACTACTTTGTTTTTATAATGTTCTGTTGACCTTTTAGCCTATTTGTTATTCCTATACTTTTAGCGATCGTTTTCAGCAGTGAACTGTAAACGAATGAGATTATGTATACTCATATTAATAGCAGCTTTTCGTTACAGTTGTACGTAAATAATTATAACCGTTGACGTGGTAACGCTGTTAGGGATTCTCCGGCTTATGATATGCATTAATGACCTTACTATTGGTTCTAGTCAACACTTGTCATGGCCCACGTATTTCTTATCGATTACTGTTGGAAGTTCCTTAGTTTCTTTTGTGTCGAACGAGACAGACAAATTATCGTGAGTGGCGATTAGGTAAAGATATGGCAGGGAACTGTCGTTGCCTATTTAAGCGTTCTGTCCCAGTAAGAATTTAAGAAACTCACAAAAACTTTGGAATTGTTCTTGGGCTCGAGTGCCAGTGAAGGTGGCTTCTGTAGTTTGGAAACTAGCCATGATAGAAGACTGGTGCCAAAACTGAAGTTGTGTTTAGTGGGGAGTGTACAAGAACAGAGTTTACGAGAAAGGAAACAACCACGAAATCTATCCTGGGGTTGATCTGTGGTGAAGATGTTTTCTGTAGCTTGGTAACAAAGAATGACGTTAAGCATCTGTAAGCATTTGTCTTATTTCCCTGCTTTAACACTGCAGTCACTCTACTAGTTGTTTTTATAAAGTGATATTGGTCAAATTTGGACTGTAATTCTGCTTTCCAGAATCAAACCTATTAGACTGGAAACTGGCATGTAAATTATCTTCACGTTTTTTTTAAAATGGTTCTGAGGTTTAAGTATAAATAAATAAATTTGCATGTGTGTGTGAGGGACAGAGACAGACAGACAGACAGCTGGCATAGCTCAGTCGGTATAGTGACTAGCTACGGGCTGGATGACTGGGGTTTCATCTTGAGGATTTTTTCTGTAGCCTCTGCATCTAGACCAGCTCTGGGGCCCACCCAGCTTTCTATCCAGTGAGTACCGGGGCCTTTCCTGGGGGTAAAGCATGGCCGAGGTGTGATGCTGACCACTCACCCCCATCTAGTGCTGTGCTCAAGAATGGGTAGGAGCTATACCATCTTTCCCACCAAGCGACCTACATGGCATGTAGTGGGACTGCTTTGCTTTACTTTATATATATATCCCCCCAATAAACGTTTGCATGCCAGATTGGACACGCTGGCCGCATTTGACCTGCAGGCTGTAGTTTCCACATCCCTGGCCTAGACATTTGTCTTGAAACTTGTGGCACATACTGAACACATGTAAACAAAACTTCAAGTGTTTTTGTACTTGTACCAAGTTACTTCTTTGTTGTAACTGCTCTGGTGCATTAAATGTAGCCAGTTGTAATCATCTTAATACTTTTGATATATTATTAAGGTGATCAATTTGAAGGAGGATGAGGTGGGCAGGGCATGATGAGACAGGTAAAAAAAATCTCAAGAGAAGAAATCACTCAAGAGGACATAGGTATAGATGAAAGGAAAATATTGAACTGAGTCTTAGAGAAAAAACTAATACTATGTAAAGTCCTTGAGAAGCTAGTAATTACACAGCTAGTCAAATACACTGCCGTTTATGGAACATGAAGGTTCATTACAACAGGTTAATTGGAGCCCACTAGTCCCTAATCCTGAGCCACATTAATTCAGTCCTCACATTCCCAATCTGTATCTGTGAGATCCATTTTAATGTTTTCTTCCCATTTATCCCAGATCTTTCAAGTAGTGGATCTCTGATAAAGTGTGTGTGAACAAGTGGACTGGGTTGAAATGGCTTAGAATTTGGGTCAGTAGTCGGATTATATTAACATGGCAATTATCTTTGGTTTTGATAAAGCAATTTTTAAGGGAATTTGAACTTTTCAAGAAAGACCCTGCATCAGTAAGTTCTCCTCAGTGATTGGTGGAATTAGTGCTTGATGGAAAATGTGATGTTTAAACAAGCATTCCAGATATGCAACACTTGAGGAATGAGAAGCTAACAATGTGCTATTGTTACAGTGCATACAGTTGAGTGTGCAGACGCTTCATGTGATCCTTCGTTACGCACTGCACTTGTATGATATGCGACATGGTGGTGGGAGTGGAAGCCGAGTGTGGGAGAAGAGAGGACCAGTTGCCTACTATACAGAGCTGACTTTTGAGTTGGCAGCACTTCTCATTGACCTGATCCACCATCTACATATGCTTTTGTGGAGCAATATATTCCTTTCTATGGCATCCTTAGTAATTTGCATGCAACTCAGATTTCTATTCCATGAGATTCAGCGACGAATCAAGAAGCATCGCACATACCTCTGGGTTGTCAACCATATGGAGCAAAAGTAAGTTTTTTGGTTTAAGAAAATCTCCTGTTTACCAAACTATTGGAACTGGGTAAACACATAGACTTACCACCTTCCTCCAGCCTGAATATATCCAATATATGGCGCCATTGGCATGTTGTCTTCAGTGAATTAGTTGGGCCAGTTTTATTAATTATTTTGTAAAGGTGATTCAATAGCAACTTACTAGAGGATAATTTTCAGAGATCTGGTTTGCTACTGAAAGCATTGAGACATATATAATATCCCACAAATCGGCAAACACTGAATGACTTTCTCATAGAGTTATGTATACCGCTGGTAGAAACAATTGCGCAAGTCTGCAGCACTTCAGCATTAAACTAGATTCTCTTCATTCTTTAAGCACCTTTTCCAGAGACCTAGAGATGTGACTATCACACAAGTAGGAATCCCAAATGATTGAAGAAGAAAGTAAGCATTAATTTCCTGTCAAGTGTTTGGCCTTGAAGTTTTTTTTATGTCATGGTGACTGAATTTTTCCACTTCATGCTAGATTTAATTGATTCCTGTTTAGAGTGGTGACGTTACCAGCAGTTTGACAGGCATGTTTCAGTAATTGAATCACACGTACATTTTAAAACTACTTTCAGTGTATATTCTGGCAATCTTTATTTCACTCTTGCATCTGAAGAGAGTATGTTCTTCTGTTTTCATTTTACTTACCATATGCCATTCCAAGTCCAAATTAAAGCAGATACATTTTCCTTATGATATGCCTAATGTTAGTTCTTACATAAAAAGTCTGCAGTGATTTTGCAATTGTGTTATTTCCATTTTTTATCTTTGATTTGGCTCTTGTATCTACCTTCCAGTTATCTATCCAAATTTCCCTTGTGTTATATTCTTTATACAAGAAAGGTCGGTGATTCCTTTTGCTACCCATGCCAAATATGACCAGAAATATTAGCAAAAATATTCAAGAAATGCATTTTGTATTTCAGTTATCCAATGGCTTCTGCTGAAGAACTTTCAAAAAATTCTGACAACTGTGCCATCTGTTGGGAGAAGATGGAAACAGCTAGAAAATTGCCATGTAATCATCTATTTCACAAGTATGTAATAAAGCTTGGTGCAAACTCAGCCCCTTTTTATATAAATTTTTCATGATTTTAATTATAATTTAGGTAACATTTTGTAATATTTCATATGCATACTTGTAACCTGCCTGTGAATTTGAAAAAATAGTTGGGTTTCAGAACTCTAGTTTAACAGGTATAAGGGTTTCCAAAGGGAAAGAAGTTTGTGACAGGAAATGGAACTGTAGTGGTTCTTGACTAAGAGTGTCGCCTTTCATCCAACCTGGGAGAGAGTTGAAATATAGGACAATGTGTACTTAGCCTGCCTAGCAACAAAATTAGTTACAGCTGTGATGTAATACTCTTCCCCAGTACATAATTCATTGTGTTTTGGAATTAAAATTACAGTCAGTTGTAATCTCTGATTCTGCTGGAATTAAAAATTATAATAAAGGAAAAATACTCTGTTCATTTTGTGACATTTTTGAAAATCTTAGCACTGCGTAGTGCATTACATTATATGAAAATAGATAGTTTGAAATAATCTAGTGGCAAGTACGTAATTGTGACAGTGGTAATGAGGTAGATGCTTGTTATTCTGATGTTTCTACTGTGATAAATTTAGACCTTGAGGAAACTGAAGTGTACTGAAGAGCAGGGAGGCCAAGGTTGGGAGGACAGTGTGACTGGCATTACAAAATGTTGACAGTTCTTACAGGCCTACCAACATTCAGCTTCTCAAAAGCACTGGTCCCATAAAGTGCATTGGAAGCTTTTAAACTATATTTCTATAGGTGATATTTCAGGATTTTATGATGGGGAGTATGACTGTCATCTGGGATGTGCAATGTAGTCTGGTGTGGTATAAGTTTGCCATAATTTTAAATATGCTTTTTGCCACCCTGATAATGGAGACAGCAAGTATTTATGAAAAGTATTAATTTCCTAAACAAATCAGTGCACTATGAAACTGACACACAAAAGAATGAACTAATATAAAATTTTGTTTTTTCTGCTGGGAAGATGGTGATATTTTTAACTTCTGTTTTCTTGGAATCCAGATGCTTATGGGAATAAACCAAATGCCTACTATCACACCAGCGCCAATTTCTAACCCATCACAAGTCAGATTTTTTAAAAATAATTATACTAATAGACAAAGTTTAATATTTTTAGGTCTTTATTGTGTAATTCTCTCAAAAGCTTAGATCTCTTCTGAAGTATTTTGTTTACAGACACCTTAATCTCTCCTCTTCCATTCATGCCCAAAACAACAGGCAGAATTACAGAGTATATTTTTATGTTTTAGGTCTATTAATGGTGATAATTATTCTTCCAGTTCATGTTTGCAGTCCTGGTTGGAGCAAGACACATCATGTCCCACTTGTAGAATGGTTTTAAGTGTTCGAAGTCCAGCAGGTTTTTTGGCTGCAAATCATCTAGAGCGTAATCTTCTGGCTGGAGAGAACCAGGTTAACAATCAGGCAACGAACCGTAGACCACTTAATCATTTTTTCCATTTTGATGGTAAGTTTTATAGCAGAACATTCAACCTTGCCCTATTTTAACTGTTTGTATTTTATAGTAGGAATTGGTCAATTGTTGGTATGAAAGTGATTGTTTTAAAACCTTTATTATAATATGAAAGTGACGACTGGTTATCTATCCTGTGGACGTCCTGGAGCCTCTGGCTAATAAACAGGTTGCACAGCAACATCTTTCTGTTGAAATTCCATTTCTTACTATCTGTTTACTTTGTCAGAGTCCAGGTCCCGTACAGGGCTGTGAAAAGGTTCCTATATGGCATAGTAGGAGAAGTTGATTGTTGCCCATTTTTACCCTAATTTATGCCCTACATTATTTCAGAGTAATATCTCAAAGTGCCTACCTTCTGCCTGTATGCTGACTTCACATCTTGAAAAAAATGTTTCTAGACACACTGCAAAATTGTTGTCTTGGAGTAATGGAAAACTCCTGCTGATTATTTTCTTTCAATTCTCATAGTGAATGAGAATTATGCACATACCCTACCCTTTAGATTGCCCTATAAATAAATGTCACAAGGATTTAATAACATACCATATTAACAGGCAGGTCACAATCCTTGACTTATTCTCCAAAAACGTCAGCTAACGCATTTATACAATTATTAGCTGTTCCATGAAACTTTGCCACTATTCTGTAAATTTTTGCTTTTGAAGGCATTACACTTTAAGGGAATTTTCTGTGAAACTTTTCTTTACGTTTCCTTGTAAACATGCTTTAAAAAGTATAGTATTTGTTCAAGGTTGTATTTCATGTTACTTTACAACTCTGCTGTCCAAACTTTTTCCTTCATTACCCAAAACTGCTTATCAGAAAGTCCTTTTTACCCAATGTAGGTAAAACACTAACTGCACAGAAAACATATGACAAGTGAAGAGAGATCGGTAAAAAATAGAAAGCAAACAATGTTTGATGCAATGTCTTTATTTTAAACATTTTAGTAGCCACAAAAAATTTGGTAATTATTCACCATGAATATTTCATGACCCATGTCCCAGCTAACGAGCACTGACTGCTTGACCTAAGCTCCATCATTTGCTCTGCAAAACCATTAACACTATCGGGGATTTCAGTCAAGTCACACAGAAATGGGTGTGTTGTTACCCAAAGAAAAACCACTTTTACCAACTTTTGGGTAATTTACCCAGGTTTGGGAAGCACTGCTTTACAACATGCATAGACATATCTATTGTTTCAAGAATGACTGCATTGGTCTAAGCCAGTGAGATGTATGGATGAATGGCTATTTCCCTGGAAAGAATCAGCTAGCCTGCCAACCTTAGATGTCAAAGCTGACAGTGCCATGATAGTCCAGCATCCCCATTTCATAGTAATTGTGATAATGTGATTTGATATAGCAGTTGTTATAAGTTGTACACTTGGCATAATTTCATTTTGTAATGTAAAAATTGCTAATTAATTTATTATGTGAAATTGATGCACACTCTTCAGTTAGCTGCTGGATAGGAAAGAGCAAGAATAAATAGAGATGATGAAGGTGACTGGGTTTATTTCTGAGTGAAAAGTTTTAATTTCCCCTTCTATGTTTACATACCTATAAAATTATCTGCCTATAAAAGTGACTTTAAAGGCATTGCCTTCCTTATATATCAATTGCAGTGTTAATTTCTCCACTGGGAATTCATAGTATTTCTGTTTATTATAGTCTACAAACTAAACTTCAGATAACAAAACTATGGAAAGCTAAACCAGAAGACTATAATACCTCAGTGACAATGGCATGATCGTCCTTGAGAGTTCTTCTTTTCAAGTGTTTTCAGCTCCCACTTTTAGTATGATATGTTCTAACTGCAGTGTACAGGCTAAGACCTTAGGTAACAGTAAAATATAAGTGCTATGAGTTCTCTAAGAAGAAATTGACAAGTATAACATGTACTGTATAGTGAAAAAAATGACGAGAGAGAATAAAAACAGTTTTATTGACATTAAAATCCAGCACATTTAACAGAAAACATGATCAATTAATAGTTATGTATTGAATTAATGTGTGAAATACCAGATGATAAAAATCTGATGAAATACCTTATATTGGTAATGTAATGACAATAACTTGGAAAAATATCAGAGCATAAGTAAAATAAAAAAGCAAACAATGTTTGATGCAATGTCTTTATTTTAAACATTTTAGTAGCCACAAAAAATTTGGTAATTATTCACCATGAATATTTCATGACCCATGTCCCAGCTAACGAGCACTGACTGCTTGACCTAAGCTCCATCATTTGCTCTGCAAAACCATTAACACTATCGGGGATTTCAGTCAAGTCACACAGAAATGGGTGTGTTGTTACCCAAAGAAAAACCACTTTTACCAACTTTTGGGTAATTTACCCAGGTTTGGGAAGCACTGCTTTACAACATGCATAGACATATCTATTGTTTCAAGAATGACTGCATTGGTCTAAGCCAGTGAGATGTATGGATGAATGGCTATTTCCCTGGAAAGAATCAGCTAGCCTGCCAACCTTAGATGTCAAAGCTGACAGTGCCATGATAGTCCAGCATCCCCATTTCATAGTAATTGTGATAATGTGATTTGATATAGCAGTTGTTATAAGTTGTACACTTGGCATAATTTCATTTTGTAATGTAAAAATTGCTAATTAATTTATTATGTGAAATTGATGCACACTCTTCAGTTAGCTGCTGGATAGGAAAGAGCAAGAATAAATAGAGATGATGAAGGTGACTGGGTTTATTTCTGAGTGAAAAGTTTTAATTTCCCCTTCTATGTTTACATACCTATAAAATTATCTGCCTATAAAAGTGACTTTAAAGGCATTGCCTTCCTTATATATCAATTGCAGTGTTAATTTCTCCACTGGGAATTCATAGTATTTCTGTTTATTATAGTCTACAAACTAAACTTCAGATAACAAAACTATGGAAAGCTAAACCAGAAGACTATAATACCTCAGTGACAATGGCATGATCGTCCTTGAGAGTTCTTCTTTTCAAGTGTTTTCAGCTCCCACTTTTAGTATGATATGTTCTAACTGCAGTGTACAGGCTAAGACCTTAGGTAACAGTAAAATATAAGTGCTATGAGTTCTCTAAGAAGAAATTGACAAGTATAACATGTACTGTATAGTGAAAAAAATGACGAGAGAGAATAAAAACAGTTTTATTGACATTAAAATCCAGCACATTTAACAGAAAACATGATCAATTAATAGTTATGTATTGAATTAATGTGTGAAATACCAGATGATAAAAATCTGATGAAATACCTTGTATTGGTAATGTAATGACAATAACTTGGAAAAATATCAGAGCATAAGTAAAATAAAGTTTGTCCTGCTACGTGCCATACAGGCGCTTGGGGTGAGTGGAGGTATAGCTCCTCTCTTTCTTGACCTCAGCACTACATGGGGGTGAGTGGTCAACATCACGCCCCGGCCGGCTTTACTCCCGGGAAAGGACCCCCAGTACCCAGTGTAGAGGAGGCTGGGTGGGCTCCAGAGCCAGTCTGGACACAGAGGCTAGAGGAAAAATCCTCTGCCCCCGTCGGGGATCGAACCCCGGTCGTCCAACCCATAGCTAGTCACTATACTGACTGAGCTGTCCCGGCTCATATATAACAGTATAAATTATTATAGACCTTTTTAATATCATTATGACACTTTACATGTTTAAAAAACTTTATAATTTAATATGTGGTCTTTTGCTGGAAATAAATTTGTGCTCTGTGATGTACGATTTTAACTGTATTTTTTAATTTCAGGTTCTCGCTATGTGTCATGGCTCCCAAGCTTTTCAGTTGAAGTGACTCATACACAGTTACTGCGTTCTGATCAACCTCAGTCAGCCCAAACGTCACAGCTGGATGCAATGGCTAGACAGGTTAGCAAGATTTTTCCATATTTATGTGCTCACATGATCTGAGAATGAAGTATAAGGAAAACTTTTTATTTCAGATTATTGATGTATCCTCATGTGCAGTGTAGTTGCATTAATGTAATTTACCACATAACAAAAAAAATGTATAAATCAAAAACTTTCCCACAGGCCCTGAGTTAAAAATGAGGATTGTTTTCCTGTATAGACTTTTTAATTGGTAGGTCAGTTTGGTGATTAAGATCTTTGTTATTTATATGTTAAATAGCATGTCATTAAGATGGAAGAGATATATTTAAATGTACAGATGTGTTGGCATTAAATAAAAAACTTGCATTAAATAAATATAATTTATATTCCCTATATTGGAATTTATGAAAAATGCTTCTGCTGGTTAATTAATGGACTTAAATTGGAGATTTATAGAAGTTATAATTGGAAGGGGTGCAGGGAACAGGGTCATAATCATAGGAAGTTTTTCTTTGTTTCTTGGTTAACAACTGTAACTTCTGAGATTGACATTTCCTTTTTGCAATTTAACAGGACACTGGATTTTGTTGACAAGGGATAGAAAACTCAAGTATAATATAATGGTGTAATTTCCATAGCAAAGATCTTGTAAACTTACTTGCTGACTACATAATAAATACAATAGCAATTCTAAGTTATGTTTGTAATACCACACAGATACAACAGCTGTTTCCTCATCTGACTGTGGCAACTGTGGTAGAAGATCTACGAGTTACTCGCTCTATGGAACTTACAATAGAAAATGTACTGGATGGCCAAGTAGTGGCGCCTCCTCCCATGTTTCAGAGGGATACAGAACCTCCACTTCCAGAACTGGAGTATTCTTCAGGACTAGTTGACATACCAGCACCAAACTGGGAAGATCTTTCAGAAAATCATGACGCTGACAGGTCGGTATACAAACCAGTATTATCATTATTATCCATTGATTTTTTTCACCAAGATAAGTTGCTTTGTGGTAAATGTTACTATTTTCGTATGTCTCCCATAAATGCTTTCTTATATGTGTGTTTGTTCTCTCCATACTGCAATTTGTATGGCTTTCCTTGGGCTCTCCAGTAGCCATTTATTAATATATTCTGTTTTTGATGCTTTCAAGAGAATGTTATTGTCATCCATGCATGGCACACATTCCCTGATTATTGCCAGCTTTCTTTATACTATTCAGATGATTTATAATGTCGCGGTTTCACAGGATCTTGTGACACGTGCTACAGAAGTATGAAATCTAGCTTATGAAAATACAGCAGTTTATCATTTACTGACATGTATTTTCTTCACAACCCAAATTAACTTTCACTACCATCTGGCCCAGCCCATGTAAAAAAAACACCAACTTGAGATGTCTCAGGATAATCAAGGAAGGAGTTGAGCTTCCTTGTTGAAGAGTACTTGAGAAAAGAGATAAAGTTTTAACAAATGTCAGAAATGAGTATCTCACCATTGCTTATCTGTGAGTAAGTTCTCTCACATTGTGATGTTGCAGGCAGTGTACACTTATAATCCAAGAAATATGCTGTTTAAATTTGTTCAAGTGTAAAATTATTTACGTATGACCATGGCCTCATTTTCTCTTAAATTTTTCAGCTTCAGATTATATCTTCTAACATCTGGAACAATTTTCTGGCTCTGCAGATTCTCTCTGTAATTGAATCTTGAATATTTTCATTTGAGAAATGCTACAGCCCTAATAATAAATGTCCAGTAATATCTTTGATATTAATTTGGAGGTATGTGAATATTTTGGGGGAGTTATGAATTTGCAGTCAGCACAAAGATTTGAACAGATTCTTAGGGTTCCTGCTTCATACTCTGTAGGTCCTTGATTCAAATCTTGACAGACCTTCCACGCACATGCCAAGATAGCACATTAAATTAGGGTATGAGTATTTCCTTTCATGTTCTTTCAAATTCAGTATTCATGAATCATCCTATTATTCAGTACTACATATACAGGGTGAGTCAGAAGTATGTTTACAAGCTTCCTGTGTGTGTTCCAGGATCAAAAATAAGAAAATATGTTCCTATGAACATGGGGGTCGCAAATGTTTCATTTTTCAAATAATAGCCAAAAATAAGTTTCAATGAATTCACTTTATCGAAGTGAATCCAGCTTCCAGCAAAGATTTTCAATTAACGTTTGGGCAGGAATTGTTGGCGACGTGCTTATTGGTCCACACATGCTTCCATCGAGTCTAAGAGGACCTTCATATTGGTGATCCTTAAGGAGACACTTGCCACGTCTCCTTGAAGATTTACCACTGAATACAAGAAGACAAATGTGGTTTATGCATGACAGAGTCCCGGCACACTTCTCCCATCGCGTCAGATATCATCTCAATGAACAGTATCCTCAGCGATGGATTGGGCGTGGTGGCCCAGTAGCATGGCCACCGAGGTCACCGGACCTGACTCCATTGGACTTTTATCTATGGGGTCACTTGAAGTCTGTTGTTTATGCAACACCCATAAACAATGATGACGATCTATGGGAATGTGTGCAGAAAGCATGCCAGATGATTCGAGGAAACCCTGATGTGTACGAACGAATTCGTCAGTCTTGTGTACGTCGTACTCTTGCATGTGTGGAGAATGGAGGAACAACCTTTGAGCATCTGTTATAAAGAAACATCCCTGTCTTTATACTTGGCAATAAAGGCATACATTGAACATTATTTTTGGCTATTATATTGAAATTGAAACATTTGGGACCCCGTGTTCATAGGAACATTTTTTTTTATCCTGGAACATGCACACAAAGTTTGTAAACATACTTCTGACTCACCCTGTATACACAGTTACATTTGAAAACCATTATTAAATAAACCAAGAATCAATTTTCATGTGCCCCTGTTCACTGTTCCATTTTCATCCACATGTTATAACATTTGATGTAGTTAAACTAATTTATGAGAACATAAAATTTAGTTCATTGTAAATAGAACATTTACATTCAGTGTATAGATATATGTTTTTTGTTTAGAATATGGAAGAATTCTCACAGTAGTTAAAAAAAATTTGTTGTACCAACTTAACATGAGGAGCAGCTAGTTTTTTGTCCGTCCCACATCTTGCCTCCTTGCTACTTTTAAGTTAAACAACAATTTAGAAAAATTAATCTTTATTTGTAAACTACACCACATACACAAATAATATAAAGACTGGAACAGAGGAGAATGTCCAGGAAACATTTAATATTGTTTAGATTTAATCTGCTTACATAACTGTTAAAAATTTCATAATATGTACCTTCTTGGAACTTGATTTAAAATGTGTATGCAGTTGAGAAGACAAAGTAAGTAGTTATAATTCATACACAATATATTTTCAAAGTGTATCTTAAATTCCACTGTATAAAACTCATTGTTTGAAACTTCAAAATGTTACTCTTCACTGTATTACTAATGAATTATGTCAATGTTATCGTGTTTTAGTAATGAAGCCTCCATAAATCTTGGTTGCCGATTTTCAAAGTCTTCAACAGAACGAGAGCGTATCTTACAACTGCGCAAGGAGCAGCTGCTTATGTTAGCAAGACGGCGGTACATGGAACGCCACAAATCAGGGGTTGCACAAAGAGACGTAACACATAAGCATGGGACAACCAGAGTCAGACACAGGCATGCTGACAGTTGAATGATCAGCATAGGTAACTTGTCGGCTTGTCAGTATGCCAGTGTTGTATCAATTGGTAAGGTGGCCACTCCTTCCATCCACCATGTTTCATACATGGTCATTGGTACCAAATGTAGGAAATTAGTTGCCAAGTTTCAATGAGAAGTGGCACGTATTTTGTGTCAGTATGTTTATGACATGTCCATTAGAAAGTTGCAACCCTCTTTTGAAATCTGAAGTGAAAAATAATTTTTAACCTTTAAAAAAGTTGGTGGATGCCAAACATTCTGAGATGAAAATATTTACATTTTTGCTGATGTGGTTGTCTCTGCCCTACCAACACCAGTTATTTTAATATTTAACTTTTTTCTGTATTAATAATTGTTGAAATTGCTGTAGTTTTACCTGTGATGTGTTTTATACGTAGTACAGTAACAAAAAATTCTGGACTCAGCTTAGACATGGTCACTCTGGGCAATATTTTATATACAACTCAAGGAGAGTACTTTGGTAGTGGTTGTGGCTAGGTCAAGTCCCATGAATTTCTTTTACTGTAGTACATAGTTAATTTTATGTCTTCATGTTGAAATGAGTCAATGAAGGGTTTCTCTTCATTGCATTAGACATACATTTGCTAATCATTGGTCATACTCCTGCTACCAAAGTCATATATGTTGTAGTATAATGAATGATGGGACATAAAACTTGCACATGATAGATAGTGTGGTCTTCCTGAATGAACAGATATATCTATAGCTTGAATGTAGCAGCAGTGCAGCAGATGCATATGTTTAGCTTGTAAATCATAATAGCTGCCAGATGAACATCATAGTAGTATGTTCCAGCTACAGTTACATGTCTGTAGTTAGGAAATACAACTTAATCAGATTGCACTTGCCAGAAATAACTATTACATACTAGCATTGGCAGAGAATACGCCTCAAAATGTGATGTAAATATGTATCTATATTCCTAGAACTTACAGAAAATAATATTTAACATATTTGCTTAGATTATGTTTAAATAAGACTGAATCCTCTCAGCAGTGAATTAAAAGTAATACAGCTTCTTGTGTTGTAAGATACATGCAGGCAAGGATATAAATCAGTAAATTCAAAATTTAGATTCTGAAGAAAGTTATGAGACATACAAATTAATGTCCGAGTGCTGTTATGTGCTGATGAAAAATGAAATGGGTATTTCATATTTTACTGTCAAACTTTGGTGTTGATTTTTAACAACTCCAGATCTCAAAGCACATAGGAGTGTAGGAAGTTGAAATTTTGCACTGTTTTCATAGGGGAAGCTTAAGGAATACTAACCAACTAGAATTAGTTTGGTTTAAATCCAAGGTGCGACACATAAACATTTTTGTCACTGGAATCATATAACAGATCTCCCATCTGACTGTAGATGTAGTATTGTAAATATCATTTTCTAAGTAGTTTAAGTCAGTTCAATGCAAGAGCTTAAACAGTTGCAAGGAAGTACATTCCGACCACAGAGATTGGTTTACTGCTTATGAAATATCCTTCAAATAGCTGCATCCTTTATGTGATGAAAAATGTACCATATGTATGTAAATTCACATTGGTGTTCATTGCTTTTTTTTATTCCAGTGCATATTTCACATACAGAAAAGAACTAAGTTGATATTTCCCTTTTTAACCCTTGAAAAGGTTAATTCTTAATGAGGCTTTCAGAGCACTGAGAAAAGTGAATTAAATCTTCATTATTATGATATGAAGTAAATTTTGTTGTTGTTATTGTTAGTGCAAAGAAATTGAATTTTGTATCGATAATGTGAGATTGAATAGTTCAGAGTGGAAATTGCATTTAATAAAGGTGTCGTAAAGCATTGGGCATCAGTGTTCGATTTATTTCAGATTTCCTTTGATAGGCTTATACATTACATGGAATATTTACCTTTCCCAAGTTATCTCAGTGACAATAGACTCCAAAGTGTTCACATTCTGAGGCCACTTGAACACTGAGATGCAGGTTTGAATCTGCCTTGGAGCACTAAGGTTTGTATGTGTTTTTGTGTTGTGATCTGATCCTCTCTACAAGGAATCATACCGCTAGTTTTATTGTAAGTTTTGGAAGCCTGTCTTATAGAGGAGACTGAGGCTTAAATCAGGCCTTAGCACCGAAAAGAATTTGTCAGTGCATAATGAAAGGGAGATGAGATGTATACAAATGTCCATGAATTAACTCGAGTATTATTTACGTAAAGATTTTGTTTATCAGACAGTTTTATAATTAAAACGGGTCTCTGTGCCATGGATTATGAGAATTAAAGCTCTTGTAGGAGTAGTTCGAGACACGAAGCATTTCTGTCACTTATTTAAACATTGTTGAGGTTGATATTGGAAAAACTATGCAAAAAAATCATGCTCAGAAGTGGGATTGTGTGGTCATTTCTTTCCTGCTATTCATGTTCTCTCAGAAATAAACTTTTCTGTATGTTATCCTCAACACAAAGTTTTAAGGAAAGTGGCAAAACAGGTTCAGTACAAGACTTTAGCTAGAACCATTGGGGATATTTAGATGATTACCAAGAACTAAAAAACATGGGAGGAATTAAAATGAGGTGGAGAGGCCAACAGTATTTCATTGTGGACACACTGGTTCAATGGCTTGTGTTTTGATGATGAATTATGCAATTGTAATTTCTGTAGAAGTGTGCTGCAGGAAGGACTAGCACTTTATGCAGGAGGTCATTTGCTTATGTTGAACTGAAGTTAAAGTTGTGTATTCTATTTGAATGAAATTTGGTTCAGCCATCCACCATGCTGACTGATTCTTAGATTGTTTAATGACTCTGTCCTACCTGCAGATGGTATATAGCAAAAATTGAGGTGGGAATGTGATACCAGATAGTTCAGTCAGTATAGTGACTGACTATGGACTGGACAACCAGGGTTCGATCCCAGAAGGGCAAAGAATTTTTACTCTACTCTCTGTGTCTAGACCGGTCCTGGGGCAAGGTGTGCCGCAGGTCCCAACATAAAATAGGCAGCGTATACATACACATTGGAAAACCATTAAGAATTGGTACATAACCAGTAACTTAACTAAGATTGAGTGTAGGTACCTGCTTGATACAGGTCTTTGATCATTGTTACTACATAAATGTTCAGTCACTCATTAATATCAAGCAAATGCAAGATTTGAGGTTCTCACAGCAGTGAAGTTCTTAATTCTGATATTTTGTGTTGTGATGCCATGTAGACTTGTAGGTAGTTACCAGCAATTTGGAGGAACATACCACCTTCATCTTTATGTCAACTCAGAAAACCACAATTAGTAAATATAAGGGTACAAGAATTGGGTAACATGATACCACATGTCACTGTTGAGTGATTAGCTCATGTATTTATAACAGTCAACAAAGCTCAGAGATATCTTTGTGACAAGTATAACATGACATTTTATCTGGCTGTGATGTGATGCACCATTTGTACTTTTCACCTTTTTTCTATTAGGATGACAAAATCAGATGATGATGTGGTTGGGGCATGAAGCATGCATGGGGAGATAAATGAGTACAAATTTTGGTTGGAAAACCTAAAGGAAATGGGCCATTACAAAGTTGGGAAATTAATGTTAATCCCTTAAGGCCTAGTGATAACTGTATACTCCAACTGCCATAACAATCAATAAGTCTGCATTTGTATTTCTGATGATTGTCAGCATAAACAGGGATGATTTCCTCAAATAGCATTAACAAATTGATATTTGTAATGAAGTGTGCTGTTTTCTTTGTGCTACTGACTTAATTATTAAATAATATTTATGAGAGCCTCGGATTTAATGGTTAAAATTGGTCTTCGGGAAATCGAGGGCATGGATTGGATTAATGTGGTTAAGGATATTGACTGGTGGTGGACTGTTGCGAACACAGTAATGAAACTTTGGGTTCTATATAAGAAGGTAATTTGTTGACAGAGTATACTGTTAACTTCTAATGAAGGACTGTGATCCATAAAGTAGTTTATGTCGAATTCTCAAAAGATTATATTACTATGCGCATTACTAGTATGGTTGTACAAACATGTTTTACAAGGAGACACACAAAACATGTTGAATTCGGGGTCACCCTTCATTGTTGAATCATTTTGCTGTAAGTATAATGCCCGCGGAAGCGGATAAAACCAACTGGAATAGAAATGACATATATTCGTTTGCCTGTTCCATTCATATTTATGGCATGACAGAACTTCCGGTTGATAAGTGTAACTTTGAATTACGTATGTTAGTTCAGTGAGCACTGCCCCATTTTATATATATATAACAGATAACAGATACCGTAATGTGGTGACAGAGGCGGCGTGTCACTCAAAAGACTACACCTAAAATCTATGCCCGAGTTAATCACGTGACTCCTGTTTCTTTTATAAATACAGCTTACTATTTATACAAAGAGGACCCCTGGCGTTAATTCATGATAACAGTTTGTTGATGAGAAACTTACTAAGCGTTATAGGCCATCATTATGGCATCAGTGGCTGGTTAGATGGGATCATGTTTCCTAAATTTCTGTTTCGGTTAATGAAGTATTAATTATCGCGTTTTGTCCGTGAAAGATTAATTTTCCACAAATGATATCAATCTCAGAGTGAAGGTTTCTCACTAAAGGTCATTTTGTGTTGCAGAACCTGTGCAAGTTGCGTATTCTTACTGTCTGTTTTGCTCCTAATTTTGTCGGTGAATTTTTAGCGTGAATTACAGTTTCACATTTATCAGTATGAATGTGTCAGTTATGAAGGTTACGTTGCATCAAGTGAGTAACGAAGCATGAGGAACCAGCCATTCCGAGTCATTTTAACGTTTTTCTTATTTCAAAATATTAAGTTATATAGTTTTGTGCTACCGCCTTTGTAAGTACATTTTTAGTTTATATGTAAGTGTGCGTAGTAAAAAAAATGCTGCTATGGGACACAACACTGAAGCAGTTCCATCACCCTTCAATCTCACAAGTCATCTCCCTAAGATATCTCAGCTGTTATCCTCTAAACATTTCTTCAATCTTTGAAGAGGTATTGCCATCAAAATTATGTATGTACAGCATGCTTGTGTCATCAAAATTACATGTCCAGATCATCATTGCACTAAGTTGACCATTTATTTTAATCCTCTTTGCTTTATGTTCTCTTAACGTCTTTGGTTTCATACTCTTGCAATTTGTATTCTTCCTCAAAATTAAGATACCACTTTGTACAGCCATTCAAATTTTCTGACATAATTATTGTTTCATGTGGCTTCTTTAACATTTGACAAGCAGACAGGGCAGTAACATTTTGAACTGAGTAGTAACAAGCATTCCCATAATTTTGTTCATAATTTAACCATGAACCTTGCTGTACCCAGATACTTGAATTTTTCCAGTAATTACTGACAGTCTTTTTTAGGATTATTTAATTCTTTTATATTGCTCTGTGATTCTTATCATCATATCAGTTTTTAATTTGATACTTAGATGACATTTCTGGTGTTTATGTATATATTAAATATACTTTTTATTCCAAAGAAGTTCAGAAATGAGTGCAAACTATGCCAGTGAAGCCATTTTTGTCTGTTTGATGGACTTTACTAGATATTTAGCCAGTTACATCATATGAACCAAAAAAAAGAGGTTTGGCGTGAAATATTTTAATGAAGACATTGAAATGTGTAACATGACCAAGGCAAAAATATTTTAAAATACAACATTTATACAAAAATTTGCAAATTGAACTATTTAGGCCTACACAGTAAATTGTCGCAGCAGGTACTGTGTGTTCGCACAATAAAGTACCAGCATATAGTTCAAATGTTTGTCACCTTTGTAATATCAGATAGTTTTATGAGCATAATAGTCAAATTTTTGTGTTATATAAGTATTTTAATATAGTTCGTTCTTTGTTGCATCTTGTGGTAGTTGTGGTTGAAGATGATTCTGAAATAATAATTATCATTGCATTTTAACACAGAATATTTGTACTGCTGGCATAATGTGATTATGATGGTTGTGTAGTTTTATTTTCATGGGTTGTAAATGCATGATGGTTTTGAGTGTTGTAATGTTTTATGCAGTTCTTTCATTGTCATTTCATTTTTTCAATTTTGTTTTAACTTACATTTTCACATTTTGACCTGTGGTAACATATAGCATCATTTAGTGTAATATTTGGCAAAGATACATATCACTTCAGCTGGAAGGAGTTATCAAGATTTTTTTAAAATGGAAGGATTTAAGAAATTAAGCTACAAAGACAGAACACAAAAAGGAATGGAAAATGGAAAAGGAACATTCAAAGCAAGTAGAAAGATTGAGGTGGGAGGAAGGGGAAGTTCTCTGTTACTAGATACTAGATATCTGTTCTGTTTCATTTACAGTTACCATATTCTAAAGTTGTCATGTATGTGTGTAATTATAAATTGGTAAAATGAATCTTCGAGGTGAAGATCGAAGACAAAAAAAAATATTGTCTACAGTGGTTTGTATTTCATGAAATACTAAAGAAAAGATCAAGATGGAGTGCTAAAATATGTGACTTACTATTGCAGGTTTCAAGCAGACTTGTTTTTTCATTTTATTTTATAATAGTGTCAACTACATAGATTTTAGTCGCAAATATGTCTTGGTCTGCTTTAAGATGCTGTACGAGCATTTTCTAGAAATACTGTGTGTGAAAGCTTAGACAAGATTGCCAATATGTTTACAAATTATCCTTCATTTTCTCCACAAATTTTAAACAAAATTGCTTATAAATAACTTTTGATGATCATATTTTTATACCTTTCTTCTTCTTTAAATGTGTAATTTTTGTTAGTATAAAATGCCTTACCTGTGTAAATAAATTTAAAAATCTCTTCTTAATCTTATTTTATCTTTTAGATTACTTATCAATCTTACATTCAGCCTAAGATCCAGGATCTAAAAATAAGAGTAAACTAATGTCATCTTCTGCAATCTGCATCTAAAAAGAAACCATGGACACCACTTAAAAATATAACGACACTGCCTACAAGCTGGCAGAACTTGAAAAACAGACGCATATCTTGCGACATGGTACAGGACAAATTATGTTTAATGCAGGTAAAAGCTTCTATATGTTGTCAACAGAAATCTTATCCTTCAAGGAAATATATTTCTGTCACAATCGCAAAATTACATGTCTGCAAGTTTAACCTCGTAGTTGATATGTTTCATGCAGTGCAGATCATTCTGCTTGCTTCTTACTTCCATAAGCTGACATATCCTGTCTGCTGTTTTTGAATGATCTTCCATGTAACCATTTTCTTCCACATCTGTATATACAGGTGCAAGAAGTTGTGCGCACTCCTGAATTTAGGATTTTTTCTACTCCTGAATTTTATTCTTGTCTTAGAGACCTATTCTGACAGGTTTTGCATAGTTTTTCTCAGTTATACCTAAACATTCTGGTGTAGAATCTTACTTTAGACCATAACCATTTTCTTCTGCTTAATTTATAATCATTCTCTCGTTCAGTGTTGTATAACGTATCGCTAATTATTGATATGTAAGTATTTGATACATTTGTACTATGGTAATTTTAAATTGTGGTTGTGTAGGTATGGGCTTTTGAACCTGTGTAACATGTTTTGTGACATTGGATAGTAGAAGTAAAGGGAAGAGCTGGTTAGTGTAGAAAATAATTTACCAGAGTTGTGGGTGTGGTTATTTGGTCTATAATATATGGAGATTTCAGTGATCTGAAAGGTATAATATGAATCAAGGCAGCAGTGCTCAAGCAAAAGTTTGCCGTAGCAGCCTTCACAAACATTAAATTGGACATTACCACATTACAGGTAGTGATGTGATTTTCTTTTGTTTTAATATGTAGTCTCATTTTCACCCACAGAAATATGGAGCAGCTTAAGGCCTCTTTCTGCAAGGATACTGGCCAAAGCGTATCAGTGAAATGTATGTTACAACCACACGAAACTGAATCCAGACTTGCAATTCGGGACAAGAACATACCAATATGTGCAAAACAGAGTTATGCATCAACGGCATGTGGGAAGGAAAACCGGGCCACTGAACATGTTTCACGCTACAAAGGATCGTTATTGAAGAATTTAAATGTAAAAAATAAAGCAGGAAATTTTAAAAAGAGTAAAGCAAGTATATCTGGCATTGTTACATCTAAAACAGAAACTGAGACATTGCCTGAGGAGTTTCTATATGTTTCTGAATACAGCAGTGACATAATTGAATACCTGCAAAAATTAGAAAAAGAAAAGCATATTCCTCAAAGTATACGAAGTAAGTATTCCGCAAATCACGTTATTGTAGTAAACTGGCTGACCCGTGTTCAGCACAGACTTGCTCTGCCGGGATGGACGTTACACACTGCAGTGAATTTATTGGATAGAGCCATTTATGTGAAGGACATCCAGTCACATGAACTGCAGCTGATTGCTTGTACTGCATTATGGATTGCAGCAAAGTGCAATCAGAAAAATAAGGTTCCAAGCGTTTCTAGTTTCTGCAGTCTTTCTGAATTTAGTTTCTGTAAGTTTGATATGTATGATATGGAGATAACCTTGTTGATTACTTCAGATTTCAATCTCCATATTGTCAATCCGCTGACTTTTGTGTCATATTATCTTAACATACTGTCAGTTAAAAGTGATAAGGTGTACTATACATGTAATTACTTGCTTGATATTGTGTACGCGGATATTAATTTTTCTACAAAATGCCCCTCCTTGCTGGCTGCTGCTGCCGTTTATGCTGCACTTCATATATATCAAAAACAAGAACTTTGGAAACAAAAGGAAAATTTTAAAGGATTTTATACTTCAGACAAAATTTGGAGTATATCTGACATTATGTTGACTAAACTGAAAAACAACAGCAGTGACACAGGCCCTTTCAAAAAATATAACAGCTCAATATATAACAACTTGAGTACTGTTTTGTATAACTGGGTGAAATCAAGCTAAGGTTGAATCTAAGGTCACACATTGTATGATTGTAATAGGAGATTCCTCTTATTATAATATTCTAAGAAGCAGCTAATATGATAGGTTTACATATAAATTGGAGTTGGTACTTCATATATATATATATACTCTGATATTTTGTGAATGTTAGAAATTTTTAAAGCTTGGAACTATGGAAAAAGAAGGAAAATAATCAGGGATTTTATACAGAACAGGAAGTATATCTGACGTTCATCATTTTGGCTGAATTGATAAACAATGAAGTGATACAGGTCTTTAAAGAAATATAGTAGCTCAAGTTATAAGAATCGTAATACTCTTTTTTTGCATTTAGATTAAGTCACACTGTCAGATGTAAGGTCACAAATTGTATGGATGTAAGAAGAGGTTTCTTTATTATATAATGTTCTTAAAAATGGTTAATATGATGTCTATACATATATATTTTTATGGATAAATTTAGAATTTCTTATTAATTTTTTTCCTGTATATGTGTACTGATAGTTTGTGAAAGTTTTTAAAGCTTGTGGTGGAGTCTTATTGATTTTGCACACTGTTATATGTCCCACTTTATTAAAGAATTCATACATATTTTAAAAGGACAGTGTTTGTTACTATTTTGTGGATTATATTTTAAAGAAATGGAATTATTTATTGCATTTTATATACCAAATATTTCAATATAAGTTTAATTTCCAGCATACACTCTCTCTCTCTCTGC